TGAGGAAAAAGAATGCTCAACTGTAGCTGTTGTGACTGGGAGTAGAAAGAGATGAATTCCTACTTCTTTCATCCCAGGAAACATAGCACAAAAATTGGGTCGAACCGTTAGTGATGATAAAGAAAAAGTTGAAATCAAATCTTCATTTGTTCACTGTATGATATTCCACTCTGTGTTCAAATTTTCTATTCTGTCCTGATCACATGGCAGCCCCAATCCTAATAGTGCCTCACTCCACTCAATTGTTGGTGTTTTATAAGACAGGCATCTGTAAAGCTAAGTAGAGGTTGATGGAGTCCAAAAGTTGTTGTAGAGATATAAGAATCAAGTCAGTGTACTTTACTTTTTCAGCTGTCTTAACAAACCTTCTTGTCTTCTTCATTTAAGGAGTTAATATAAGTGCCCTAATTAGTCAACTTCTGAACTGAAGTCTTTGCTTCTTCCAGTACATTTTCAATGGATATCTCTCTGATTGATCCAAGTGTAGCTTCCATTGCTGGACAGAGATCTACTACTGTTGTGGTAGATGCCTGGATGGCCTTATATAATGATCCACATGGTTTCAACAGTAGACTTACAAGAGAGAATGGCGATTGTGTTCTCTGAACTTAGTAGCAAAATTAGTCCACCAGCCTCACTACTTAGATCTGTCCCATCTCAGTAGATACTTTCCAAAGCCAATAATAATGGTTACAGTAATTTTAAGACAACAGCCAAGGATCGCTCATGAGAAAGCCAGTGGATTTTCCCAGGTTGGACTAATTTAAACTTCTGTCCCAATGTATCTTCTATGTTTTCCAAGACTTTCAGTCCTTTTGGACTCTTGCTGAAAAAGAGTATAATGAGAACATTAAATGTATAGCTTTTAAAATGCCTTTTGAAGATTCTGCAGCTTGTACTAGTGCTAGTTGGAGTAGATGGCCTCTGCAGTGTATATTGGAGAGATTAAAGTTACACTTTTCTCTAAGCAAAGCTTGTACTCCACTATGTCTTCCAAAAAAGTTTGCAGCTCCATCAGATACACAAGCAGTCATCTGTTTGGGGTTCAACCGACAAGCGTTTAACTCTTCTAAGATGTGGGTTAAACAGATGCAGTCGATGTGTCTTCTGTAACCTGAACATCTAGAAATTCATCTACTGACCTACCACTGATATCAAGGTGACATAGGCAGTGACTTAATACTTGACACCCATTTGCATCGGTGCATTCATCAGCCATGTATGCACATTTTCTGAATGTGGTGAGAGAGTTCTTCACTTTTTCAGCTTCTGAGTCTTTCACTGTTGCACTGCATGCTTCTAATTAGTCAGTTGAGTTTCTTGCAGAAAGATAGTGAGCATTTGCTGGTCTTGGTCGGAACCAGTGTTCAACTTCCAGATTAACAATTGACAACACACTTAACATTGGCCTCCAGTTTGTAGTGTGTGGTATCTATTGTTTAAAGAGAAAGTATGATGTGACAGCCATGTTTGTTCGCATAAACTGTGTTATGTCTCCAGCATTCTTAACAGCCTCATTAATTACTTCTAAAATTGGCTTTGACAATGACTGGCGTATAAAGCTTTCTGCATGTTGATGCAGTCCAGAGGATTGGTGTTTTGCAGCCTTTTCACATAGTTTGTCAGCATTGGCTTTGCTGGTCAGTCTAGCAAACCAAGCTCTTCCACTTTTACTATATAAATCCATGGTATGGTCACATCTTGAATATTGAGTGCAGTCCTGGTCACCCCATCTCAAAAAAGTTATATTGGAGTTGGAAAAGGTACAGAGAAGGGCAACTAAAATTATTAAGCGTATGGAACAGATTCCATATGAGGAGAGATTAAAAAGACTGGGGGACTTTCCGGCTTAGACAAGAGACTACTAAGGGGGGGATATGATAGAGGTCTATAAAATCTTGACTGGTGTGGAGAAAGTGAAAAGCTCCCTCACATAACACAAGAACTAGGGGTCACCCAATGACATTAATAGGCAGCAGGTTTAAAACAACAAAAGGAAGTACTCCTTCACATAACATACAGTCAACCTGTGGAACTTTTTGCCAGGGGCTGTTGTGAAGGCCAAAACTAGCACAGGATTAAAAAAAAAAAACCTAGATAAATTCATGGAGGATATGTCCATCAATGGCTATTAGCCAGGATGGGCAGGGATGCAACACCATGCTCTAGGAGCCTCTGTTTGCCCGAAGCTGGGAGTGGACGACAGGGGATGGATCACTCAATAATTTCCCTGTTCTGTTAATTCCCTTTGAAGCACCTGGCATTGGCCACTGTGGAAGACAGTGTACTGGGCTAGATGGACCATTGGCCTGACCCAATATGGCCATTCTTATGTTCTTATGTAAAAATTAATTATAATATAATAAAAATATATTGACCCACCTGACCAGTCAATTTTCGTCCCCTGCTCTGACCCTGGCCACCCCTCTCCTCTGATTTGCTCCCTTTGCCCCCTTTTAACGCCTGTAAAAAGCAGTCAGCAGAATCTTATGGCTAGTAAGGTAACGATGAAGGGCAGTGGCTTCAGCAGATGTTACTGAGCATGCTTAGTTCGTGTGAGCATGCTCAGTACGCCATAAGTAGCACATTCCTACAGGGAGCAGTTTCCTGTACTACACCTGCCTTGGAAACTCTCCTTGTTCCGACCCCTTCCCCATGGAATCCCACCTCATCCTGCCCCCCCATGTCCCTCATCCCACTCCCCCTCATCCCGCCTGTCCCAAACCCCTCCCATCCCACCTGCCCTGGAACCCTCTTATACTGAACCCCCATCTTGTTCCCTCTGGAACCCTCCTTCATACCATCCCCACATCCTCCTCCACAACCTCCTTCATACCAACCCCGTTTCTTCCCCCTCCTTTATCCCATCCACCTCTCATCTTGCCTGCCCTGGAACCCTCCCCCCATCCTGCCGTCGAACCCCCCGCCTGCCCCACAACTCCCCCCATACCTACCCCATCTTGTCCCAGAACCTCCCCCTCATGCAAACCCCCTGATCCCACCCACTCCAGAACCCCCTTTTATATTGTTCCTTTGCATCTCACCCCTGCCCCTCTGCTCACAGTGGAAACCCCCTGTGCTCCCCATCCTATCTGTCCCGGATGACCCCCATACCATTCTTCTCCATCCTGCCTGCTCCGGAATCCCTGTCCCTATCCTGCCAATCCAGCCCACTCTGACTCTTCCTTAACCTCCCACCCCATCCTGTCTACCCCTGAACCTCTTAACACTGCCCTAGATCATCTCGCCTGCCTGGTAACCTACCACCATCCTATCTCCCCTATAATCTCATAATGCCCCTCACTGTTCCACTCTATAACCCCCTTATAGTGCCCTCATTATCCTGCTTGCCCTATACATCTCATCTTCACACTGCTGTCTCTGTATCCTCCCATTTTACTACACTACATCCTCTCATACTATTCCTCCCTCCCCTCATACTTGCCCCATATCACACTCTGCCACCTCATACTGCCCTCCATTTCTAATATTGCCTACTTATCTACCCATACTGCCACTCCAACCTACCCTATGTGCCACCCTGTATTTCCTCTGATACTGCTTCATGACCCTTATCCACTATAGCCAGGTGCGGGAGTACATGGTGTGCATGGGGAGGCTTATCTGTGCCTGCATAATACCCTCTCTGCTGTTACAACTCTTAACCTTCCACAGATAAGTGATAATGTACAGAGGACACAATGCATTCCTATGCTTCTGTTCTCCACCCACATAGTACCCTCATGCTGCTCATCATACCTCCCACCAGTCAAATTCAGGAGTACACAGTATGTACATGTGTCCTGCCACCCCTCTACCATGCTGTCCTACAACTGCCCTTGTTTCTCTCCTCAGCCAAATGTAGGAGTACATAGTGTGTACAGAGGGCATATATTCCTTTCATACCTCCCTAAACTCCCCCTTCATGCCATCCCCAGTACTGTCTCATGATCCTCTCACTCCGACATAGTCAAACGCAGAAATACACTGAGCATATGGGTGGTGTCTACTATCCATACTGATCCAAGCACCTCTGCAAAACAACCAAATGCCACAATATACATAGCTAGAGGGATCTGGTAGGGATCTCACCCTGTACTGTCTCATTCTCCCCCAGCCATGTGTGGGAGTATATGGTGCATACATAGCTGCTGTGAAGTGGGGGCTGACTATTACAGTCAAAGGTACATGCTATGTACAGGGAACATACCATTTCATACTGACCCATGCCACCCTTATAAAGTTTGCAAAAATATATGCAAAGGTATACATTACTAGATTATATTTGAAAATTGAACCGTTGAATAAGAATATGATTTCATAATCTAGTAACTTGTGGTGACATATTTTTCAATTTTATTAGAAAGCAATATTAAGTTTGGGTGGGCTGTGTAAATCAGGTGGGATGACGGTGTATGTCTACACTGCCCTCTTCTTTAGGTGGCATATAGGGTACCTCTACCCCGTGTAGCCCCCCTAGCATGTGTATAAATAGCAGCGTAGCCAAGAAGGCATGGCTTAGGCAAGTAAAGACGTGTGGGTAAGTATGTGAGTCCATACCCTATGGCAACTCTATTCATCTAAGCTGTGCCGCCCTAGATACACTGCTATTTTTAGCAGTGTACTATCTGCTGCCAGTGCCTTTCTCCACTAGAGGGAAAGACTCCAGAAGTGGGGAAAGGCTCTGGTTGGGGGAAGCAGTGGGAAAAAGCTTGGGGAGCTCCCTGCTGCTGGAGCCTTCCCCTGCCCCAGGGAAGGAGGTTTCCCAGTTTCCTCTCTCCTGCCAGAGCCTTTCCTTCCCTCAGTGAAAGGCTGTCAGCAGAAGCCTTTCCTGGTGCCTCCCTGCTGCTGGAGTCTTTCACTGAGACGTGTAGCCACACACTGCACAGTGGAAGCAGCTTGCAGCATCAGGGGTGGCATGTTTGTAGAAATTTTGGTGGTGCCCAGAACCCCCCCCTGCCCAAACTCCGCCCCCCAAGCTCCGCCCCCTACCTGCTCAAGGCTCTGGGAGGGAGTTTGGGTGAGGGAGGAGGTCTGGGGTGCAGGCCCTAGGCTGGGGCAGGGGATTTGCCCCTGGGGCAGGCTCTGGGAGGAAGTTTGAGGATGGGAGTATTGATATCACTAGGCATCACTAGGCCAGATTTAGCTGCTCCCATTGACCTCCAGCAGGCAGAGTCCCTCCCCCGCTCTCCCCCTCCCCCTGCCTCAGCATCGCATTGCCAGCAAGCTGCGGGGGAGGGGCTCTGTGCTCTGCAGCCTGTTTGGTTTCGCTTCATGTAGAGCCAGCGTCTCGGGGCATGGTAAGGTGAGTTCTGGGGGGGCTGTCAGGGGGCAGGGGGAGGGTTGAATGAGTTGGAATAGGGTTACCATACGTCCGGATTTTCCCGGACATGTCCGGCTTTTGGGGGCTCAAATCCCCGTCCGGGGGGAAATCCCCAAAAGCCGGG